TCCGCTTCGCAAGCTACGAGTTTTTGTGGACAAACTACGTCTTACAAAAAGATATATAAAAAAGAAATAGTCTCTTTTATAAGTGAATTATTAGCTTAAAATAAGTCATGCATTTTTATTTTTAACTCACCTAATGCGTCCATGGACGAGTTCAATCGTAATTAAGTCACCTTGAGAACCTGCGCTATGAAGAAATAATCCGAAGGGGTGAATCGTTTTAAAAGAAAACGTAATCCTGTCTTCTTCTGTCGTGATGCTGTCGGAACGAAGATCATAAGTAATATAGCTATTTCCTTTCATGCTAACTTCAACTGCCGAAGAAAAAGAAAAAGTTACTAAGAGCCACGAAACAAAAATCACGAACTTTACGAACCCCTGACTCGAAGTCATATCTCGAAATCGGTGACGCCGCGAACGTAAAAAAGTTCACGCGAAAAGTTTTAAGATATGTCACAACCACCTCCACTACTTATCGCGTTTAAAACGTTTCTGTAAGAAAAACATTGTTTGTTTTCAGTGATCCTTCTTTGGCTAATTAGCGGTAAAACAGCGCTAATAAGCGATAAAGGTCTTTCGAAACAAAAGTAGACAATAGGCGTTGTTTTGGATTGGATAACATCGATCAATTGAGTTAACAGTGTACGGGAAATATCCAATAACGCACAAGCTTGCGGATAGCGCAAAACAACCACATAGAAGTATCAATTCTTTGGATAAAGATGCGGTAAAGTATACGTTACAATGATCTATACGCCATTAGAGTTTTTAGATCATGACATTCTAGGTCGATTATAACCCGACCAGACATGTTTTCAACCTAACAAACTTCGGTGAAGTTGTAAGTTTAGCAGGGTATTTTCGTAATAGATAAAGCTCCGAAACGGTATGTCAAGTTATGCTTTGAAACTTGGAATTTTCACCTGCTGGGTGAGTTATAAAATTTACCTAATTTCATTTATTAAAACAGAACCGACCGACGCTGCTTTTGATAATTTTATGGTTCGGTAACAAACAAATAAATCTTTAAAATGCGTCTCCAGTACTCAACTGTAGTTGGTTTCCTTTTGGAAGTCATGCAATTCCAGTCCTAGAAATTCCCCTCCGATCCAATACCTTAGAGAGGCAAATAATGATAAACTGTACTTAAGTTTCAAATTTAACTAAAGGCAAATTAGTTGAAAAAAAGGAACCTAAACTAAATAATTATTTAAGCCTGTTAAGAAAATTCTGCATATAAATTCGTTTACACTTGTAGATGGTTTATTTTTCGGCATTGTGCACTATACGTTTTACTTCTATTCCTTGGAAATAAAGTTTTCATTCTAGAAACTAATGAACTTTAACTTTGTGTTACTGGTTCATGTTCTAGTGAAGAAATAAAAAAGAATGTTTTAATTTAGTCTGAGTCTTGATGAAGTACAATTTAGCTTGTACGAGCATTTCAGCAATATTTGAATAATAGTAGTAAAAAACTGGTTATTTAATTTGCTGCCTAGATCTACTATAGAGGACGTTATGGGTATGTCAGCCCTTGCTATTCGCTGAGATCTGGATATATAGGACCAGTGGAGGGAGACAAAGTGAAGCTAAATACAAAACAAAAAAATAATAAAAAGAGGCTAGCAATTCAACCATGTTGAGCAAAAAAGCTTGATCATCAAAGTACCCATTTCATGGCCAAAAATGAAGAGAACTTTTCCTGAAAACAGAAGATTTGTATCTCGAATCTTACTTGTGTGGGAAAAAAGTCAAATATGATGGAATCCACCTCTGGAGACCCAAGAGGACAAGATACAGAGGAGGCACTCATAAATTTCTCGGAGGAAGAGCTGGACTATGTTTATGCCGAAACGGTGGAAATACAGAGAGTTTACCTTCTTTGCAATGAAGCAAAGAGGTACTGGCGAAGAACTGCGTCCAATACTGGCATGATTTCGTCCCTAAAATGATTGAGAAGACATTCTTTCTTTGGGCATTGGCCTCAAAGACACCGAGTATCGGATGTTTAGAGATCTAACTACTGATATTGTTAGAAGGACTAAGGAAAGACCCAAATGGTCGCTAAAAATGGACAAAAAACACAAGATCCCACCTTTCGTTAGCAAGGCTAAACAGGACAAAATATGCGGAAAATTATATATCGCTGAGAGGAAAACTTTTAACCATGAGATGTAAACCTCTAATTGTACCAACGAACTTTAAAATCTGTCTACTTTCTAACTTTTAGATCCTTTTTGTTTCAACAAATGAGCACGAAGGGGTAGTGACTGTTGGCGATAGCCTTTTTTGCGACAAGCTTTTAGAGCTTTACCCATTATGCACAGTGGCGGATCCAGATCTTCAGGTAAGTGAGGGGGGTGGGGGGTCTCAGTCATCTAGACCCTGAGATAAGGGGGGTTGGGGGGGGGGGAGGCCGCCTTAAAAAAATTGGTTTTTTTGGCCCTTCAGGCCTCAGTTTGGTCTAAAAATAAGGGGGGGAGGGGCCTTCCCTGGATCCACC